TGCCATGGTCACCGATCACTATGGTTGTATGTACCGGGCCTTGCCATGGTCACCGATCACTATGGTTGTTTGTACCGGGCCTTGCCATGGTCACCGATCACTGTCGGTTTTAACATCTGCCGCTATAACAGTGTTGATTTTTAGACTTAGAGTCTGTTTCAGAAGCTTCAGAGACGACCTTGACTGTATCTAATCATTTCTATAGTGATTTAAATAATTTTTACATTGATCTGTTTTAGTTTTTCAGCATCGAACCTTGGTGGGGGCTCGTACGAGCTTGGAAAGATATTTTGACAAAGAAATAAATGTCGTCCCCCCCCCCCAATGTCCCCCACCCCCACAACACCATTTATAAAAAATAGTAATACAAATATGATCATTTAATATGTTTATCTGACTTTTAAAAAAAAGTTGTTGATAACAAAAAATTACTTATAACAAAACATTACTTATAACAAAGCGATACTCATAACAAAAAAGCTATTTATACTTAAATAAGAGAAGATATACATTGTTTTTAGCATATTTAAAATGATTGATTTCCGTAAGGTAATAAAATAACAACTGTTTTTGGGATTCTGAATATATTTAAATTGATTCGATTTTTAAGTGTTTTACGGTCAGCCAATTTCACTCATATATATACATACACAAATAAATTCCGTTGAAAATTTAATGGGGTTTTTTTTAATACTTATTTGGCTTGTTATTGTTTGATGAACAATACATAACAAAGAAATAAATACCAGTATGCAAATACAAAATTTATAACAAAGATAATTATATTTTTAATATTTAATTTAATTTTACAAATATAAAAAAATACTCAAATACATATTACATAGAACCATGGGCGCCCGCAGGTAGGGGCAAGGGGGGCACTTCCCCCCCCCCCTGGATTGATTGGATAAAAAATTTTTAGAAAAAAATAGACAAAATATGTATTAAAGTAAAGAGAAAATAAAGAGAAAGTAACTAAGCTGATGTTCTGTCCGTTCGTTCACCATACAAATACGCTACAGTAAATTAAAACTATATTAAAACATTACTAAATTTTTTTGCCCCCCCCCCTGGAAAGTTAATCAATTCTTTTTGCCCCCCCCCCGGTAAATTGCCATTTTTATTTATGTCTAAGATGGGGGCCCTAGAGAATCCTTCAAGTAAGGAATGGAGTCTAAGATGGGGGCCCTAGAGAATCCTTCAAGTAAGGAATGGAGTTACGGTTGTAACATTTGTCCCATTTAAGGCGATTAAAAACGTCTACAAAAATAATGATCGAACTCTCTCGAAAATTCTGGACCTGTCTCAAATGGATTCGATATTTTTACTTTTAAATCCACCCTTTTTGTCAATTTGGACTATAAAGTTCATAGTTACCAAGCTTGGCCTATATATATATATATATATATATATATATATATATATATATATATTCACGTAGAGCCTTATATTATTATAAAAGCCTGCTGGTATTTATAAAATTTATTTGAGGGGAAATGAAATTGCTGCCCCCGGCCCTAAATGAATTCTCCAGGAAGTTGATCATTTAAAACCCATTTTAATAGGACAGCACTCGAATTTTGACTCCATTACTTATCTACAAGCTTTTTATAGGGCCCCTCTTTCGCAGGCGTAACTAAAACCATGACTTATGGAATAAATGGTAATAGTTACGGCAATTAGTTGTTAAGTCGCTAAAAATAAGATATATAAGATAAGATATTTATATATATTGGAAACAAAACACACAATAATGGATATGTGTACCAAGTTTGGTCAACATCCATCAATCTATGAAGTATGAAGTATTGCAGGCGGAACAAACCAACAAATGTTCACATTATGTATAAATGATATATGCAACCAGAAAAAGTCTTTTAAATTTTTTTGTTTTTTTTTTTTTTTGTTTTTTTTTTTTTGTTTTGTGTGTGTGTGTGTGTGTGTTGCAATTCGAACAACGATGTAAATACATAATGTTATTCAACACATTTGTAACGTTGACACCTTGAGTCATGTCAAGAAATTCAACACTCGAAAACCACACCACGAGACATAGATTTCCACTTGAAATAATTTCACATCTCAACGGTAGGAGAACCTTAATAATAATAACTGTGCTGCTGAAAAGATGTGAGAAACGAGAAGCTGTTCAGACGTTGTCATGAAACAAGCCAACATGGCAAGTGGAACGAATGGATCGCATTTATTGAACGTTAAAACAGTCTCCAACACCGGCAGAAGAATCTTTCCCCGTTCGTTTTCTCTAGACTCTTGAGTCACCAGGAGGATATCTGAAATCAGTCTGCGCCTTTGTCAATATAATACAATATTATTTATATAAATAAAATTGTTAGGATCCTTGAATAAAAAAAAAGTGTGTTTGACAACTTACGCATGGTGTATAATCATTTAAGCAAGCACTGCTGATGTCATCCAGCTCTTCCCGACCCTTAGATGTGTTGCGTGATTCTTACGGACGCGACACCCCACGGAATATTGGCAACGTGGAGCGGGGTGGGAGGCGGTCAACAGAAACACGAAGTTGCAACAACGGCGCCAGGTCATTATTTTGTTTTGCATTCAGATCAGCGGTTCTCATATCAGTTTTATTTATTCCTTGTGCCGTCACCACCTGATGACACGTTCTAAATTATGGCGACTCACATCCAGGATTATTCCCTAGAAGCTGAGAACTCTTTGCTGAGAAGTTAAAGGGGTAGTTGGGGTTCGATGTAAATAGTTTTCAATTTTTTTTATGTATATATTTTAAAAACATATATAAATCGTGCTTCCACACCTACCCTATAATTTAAGTGTGATAATTTAACAAAAACAGTGGGATGGATTGTTTTTGTGTCTGCATATTTTGGCAATATTTTTTTTTCCCTTTATTTATAAAAAAAAAAAAAAATTGTTTACGTTTAAATGTGTCTTGTTGCAAGAAAGTTTTCAAGGTCACAAAGTTTAAGTATAAAATAACAAGATTTGAAGACGTATCACAGTGTCATTTATAGCGTCATTAATAGCGTCATTAATATTGCCATTTATAGTGTCATTTATAGTGTCATTTATAGTGTCATTAGCAGGGTCATTTACATCGTCATTCACAGTACCATTATAGTGTCCTTAACAGTGCCCTTTATAATGTCATTTATAGTGTCATTAACAGGGCCATTTATAGCGTCATTTATAGTGTCATTAACAGTGCCCTTTATGGTGTCATTTATAGTGTCAATAACAATGCCATTTATAGTGTCATTAATATTGCCCTTTATAGTGTCATTTATAGTGTCATTAGCAGTGTCAGTTATAGCGTCATTTATAGTGTCATAAACAG